AATTAATATATCATTAAAATATTTAATAAATCATTAACTTTTCTCCTAAAGAGTTAATTTCAATATTTTTTATTGATGATAATAATAGAAATTTAATTTCTTTACCATCTCCACCACACAATCTATAAATTCTATAAAACAAACTACTAAAGGTTTGATGGAAATAATTAAAATAATTTTTTATTTAAAATAATAATACATATAAAATAATATTCTCCTATAAATAATTACATGATATATCGGTCAAATTGCGTCCAAAAACAGAAGAAAATAAATGCTCATTGTACTAATTGAGAATATATAAATAGAGAGAGAAGGGGGTGTTATCATGCAACTCTTATATTTGTATAAGTAATATAATTTAATCTCAACCATTTATTTAATTTGATAAATATGTGATCTTATAAAAGTTTAGATTATTTCATAATATAAAGTATTGATCATAATTAATGAACTATATTCATCTTCTATAAATATTCAAATTATAATAAATGAACTTTCATCATTTTCATAAATATCTCAATTTATTGGGTTGTATTGATTGTACAAATATGATGAATTGTATTTGAAATGTCCTCTTTCTCTATATATATAAATTATATATCATACTAAATAAAGATTAAAACAAAATTTATTATATTTTGATTGATTTTGATGTTTAGTCCATTATAGAAATTCCAAATATTATTTTGCTTAACCGAGTAATTAATTATTTTTGACATCTAGAATTTTAAAACTAACACACGAAAGAATTAGTCAACTAAGACATATTTTTTGAAGTATATAATATTTATATACGTTAAATAGAACAAATAAACTCACACACCTTCCTCACTTTTGGTGAAGTTTGAACCATTGACCTCTTAGGAGACTAATGACTCACATACCGTTAGACCAAAGACCATTTGATTAGTCAACTAAGATATTACTTTCAACGTTTTTACTAAACCAACAACCATATTGTATTTGAGAATTTTTTGTCTTTCTAAAGTTTGAATACACACCAAGATGAATATTTTTTTTCTTTTTTTGTTTATTATTGTTTTAATAGCTATAAAGATTAAAATCAGTAACAAGAAATCGAAATAATTTGAATTGAGTTTGACCACACGATCGTTTGACAACAGACGAAATGGTACATGTCAAATGAATTGATAATCTGATATATGTTTGTTTGGTTCGTAAAATTTATCTTCAAAATTAAAATGAAATAAAAATAAATGATCAAGATATACCCTTTTATGGTATTTTTGTAATTTCTTGTTTAAATTATAAAACTAGTAAAATAGTAATTTAATATTTAAAAGTATCATTTAATATGATTATGAAATAGAAATAATAATCTTATTATTAATAATTACTTGTGCATTCGTGAGATGCTTGATACTAAACATATGCATATTGGTGTTAATTTATATAAATATTATAAAATTCACTTTTCTTGTATTATTTGTCATGTGTTTATCATAATTTAAATTTTTTGAATTTAATTGAAGATGTAATTATTTTAAGTTTTAATTATGAAGTGTTTTTGAGATAGAGATAATGATGAATTATTAATAGGATTCAAGTACAATTACTCTAAACATGATTTCTGATTGATTATGGGGAGTGCTAATGACACCCCTTAACAGGGGTGTAAAATATATTGGAATTTGGAGTTGCTTTATGTTCCCATCAAATGTCAAAATCAACAATAATATATTATTTTTTTTATTTTTATTGTTTTATACATATATATAT